CTTCTGCTAGAACGTGGAATAATACACCGCCATATTTTTTGTCGTTTGTGCATGTGGTAAGTAGAGGCCCTTAGGGCCACTGCACGTATTCCTAAGAAAAGAAAACGAGAAAAAAAAAAAAACAGAAAAAAAACAGAGAATTAGTGACCCATAACTGTGCTCAGTGTGATGCACAGACCTGAATTCGAATACAGAGTATATATATTATCGGCCCACGCAGATAATTTACAAGTCCAATGTCCATCTCTACTCCACGAGGGGTCCTTGCTAATATGTAGGGGCCCTTCGGAAATGAGACTGGACGAATAGATTGGAGAATTTGGTATAAAAAAAAAAAAGGACATGCACACACATGTGCTCCCAGTGTTCGAAACGGAGGGGCCTGTTTGGCCACCCCACCCTGTTAATAGAGGTCAATTGTTTTTATTTTATTTTTCGTTTTTAGTGTTTGGGCGCGTAGGGCCACGTGTCTAAGGCCCGACGCGCTAATTTCGTTTTTCGGAAATCAACATGACACCCTCGTTTTTTAGTTAAACGGGATTCAACGGGGGTCCTCGGACCCGTTAGACGGGTTGAACAGCGTTTAACTCCGCCCGTCTCCGTTCATCAGACACATAGCCAAACGATACCATGAGAATGGTTGTACGTGGACGCGCACAACCAGCTCCTCGCATTTCCACCGAGGTTCGCAGAGTCAACATGGTTTGATGGGTGTCAATGGGCAAAGAAAGACCTGCGACAGGAACCGAGGATGCGAACGAACCTGACCGGTATCCGATACGAATTCAAGACCGGTTCCGCCAACTGTGGCGACATGTGTCGACAAGTGTTAGCCAGAGTGAGTCTAGCTGGGGTCAGTTGCTCTCCTCTACAGTGGCAGGGGAACCATTGCTGAGGGTGTCACAAATAATTGAACTCTCGGAACCCCCTGTGTCCTTGTATCTTAGAACGGACCCCCTCCCGGAGAGATTTGCCGAGTTTGGGGGGCGATGCGACCTATCTTTTAGGCCCCCGCGCCCCTACTCACAGACGCCAAGGCCGCCGTGCTTTTGGACGAAGGGATAAAGTTTCGGCCCGCGGCCCCTGAAAATGCATGGGGACGCGAGGGAAGTCATGCAGTCCTTTTCAGTGGAACCCTCGGTTGAAGCTGAAATCGATGGAGAAACCGAAACAAAAAACGTATTGGTCACTCCGGCAGATAGTCAACTCATAGCCACCGTACACTCGGTAAAAACCAACAACTCCCTGTTTGGAGCTTCCCCAGAGGAAACCGCTCGGGTCCCAACTGTCACATCAACTCCCCTATATATATATATATATATATATATATATATATATATATATATATATATATATACAAGGTTGCCAGGCCGAACGTACGGAGGCCCCTGAGCTGACCCCCGAACGTTCGGGCGTTCGGGTCCCTGTACGGGGCCGAACCTGAAGGGGTTCGGACCCCGCAAAAAATTAATTTGACACCTAAATATTATTTGTTTTTTTTTGAAACGTTTTTTGTGAGTTTCATGTGATGTGAGGTATCTCCCTATTAATTTTGAATCCATTCTGTTCAGCCAAACAAAAATGACAAATCGGCAAAGATGGTGGTGTCAAAACTTGCTTGCCCACTCACTAATTTGTTTTTTCTTTCTTTTCACTTTTTGTTTTTTTTCTTTATTTCAGGGGATGAAAAAAAATATTATTTCTTCAAACTTTATTTGTATATTCTCTATTATATAAGATACACATGTATAAATTTTCATGGCATTTGTCACTGCCAAAAAAAAAAGAAAAATCACCAAAGATGGCGGTGTCCAAAACGTGCTCGCCCACACAATAATTTCATTCTCGTTTTATTTTTTCTAATTTTCATTATTATTTTTTATTTTAAGTATTTGATTTCTATGTCAAATTTGGTAAAGAATTTGGATGTAACATCGAGCCAAACGTTGTTTAGTTTATTCTTCTGTATAACATATATTTTTTTCAGATGTTTTTTTTTTTGTTTTGTTTTTGGTCCACGTTCGGCCGAACGGCCGAACGGGTCGAGAGGGGGTGCCAAACGTTCGGGCGTTCGGCTCCTCCCGAACGCCCGCAACCCTGTATATATGTATATATATATATTATATATATATATATATATATATATATATATATATATATATATATATATATTAACACATTTTTAGGGGTAAAAAAAAAATATTAAAAAACCAGGCTGCGGTCTGGGCCTCGTGGGTTGCGGCCGCGGCCAACTTTTTCGGCCGCGACAACCGAAATACCCGCGGCCTAGGCCGCGGGTGTCACATAAAATGGTGCCTGTCACACTCACTCAAGTCCGAGCCTTCCTCGGCCTGACCTCATATTATCGATGGTTCATCGAAGGGTTTGCTCGCGTCGCCAAACCTCTGACCAACTTACTGAAGAAAGAAGAACAGCAAGGGTGAATGTTTGGTGGTGGTGTGGGGAATCCAGCACTTTCGACCGTATCTCCACAGCCATAAGTTCGTTCTCGTAACGGATCACCAGTCGTTGTTGTCCTTACGGAACAACATGGATTATACGGGAACCTTGGGAAGGTGGGCAGTAAGGTTGCAAGACTACGATTTCGACATCCACCACCGCGCGACCAGGCAGCATGGAAACGCGGACGGACGGACTCGCCTCCAACCACCAAAGAACTGCCCAACGAACGAGAGACTCGTTCCGTGGAAAAAAGCTTCACCCCTAACGGAGCCTCGCTACGAAGAACTTGGAGAAGTACACGTCATCCGCAAGGGAAGGACTGGGGCGCGAGATGGCGACCCCTCTTGAAGCGACAACAACCCCGTCATCTTTCCCAGGCTCTTCGACCTATCCATCTATCCCTCACTCTCCCCCTAGCCTATCCCTGCGTTCTTGCTTTTTCTGCACCTTGCCTATGATACCGGACCGGGGGGACTCACACCTCGGAGGACCTAGTTTTATCTCATGGGTACGATGCATCCAGTGCCGCATGATCTAGTCCCACAGATATTTCGTTAGGTATCGGAACGAGAAGAAGTGGAACCATCCCAACTGTCGAACGGACCAGGTACCTACAGAAAAGCGGTATGTAGAGGCTAGGATAGAAAACGGATTCTTGCCAAGTGTCCGTAGAGCAGAGGTCTAGATGGATCTCCTCCTATAGAGAAGACTCAAGGGAGACCCACTGACGGAGCTTACCAAGGCAGAACGCCAGCGAGTCACGGAGCGAGCTCATGATTATCGTTGGCTTGAATCAGTCTTGCAAAAACGAAAAGACAATGACAATAGCGGGTCTAGTTGGTTGATGGTTCCACACCCTCTTGCTAGGTTCGATTGGACACGGGCTGCCCACGAAGAGGATGTGGTCCATTTCGTGTTCAAATACACGGAAAAAACTATAGAGAAAAACGAATGGTATTGGTCAGGAATTCGGGAGGATGTCAGATACACCATCCAGAACTGTCCGGCCTGTGCGGCTGGTAAGGCGCCGGTACAGATGCTACGGAGGATGGTATCGACTAGAGTAGAACGCCCCTTCCAAGGAGTTAGCATCGATACGACTGATATCAATGTACCGAAATGTCCCGTCGATCAGAGCAAGCTCAATGTCCTTCTAGTGGCCGTCGATCATTTCTCTAAATGGATCGAGGCCTATCCTATGACTAGTCGGAACTCGCAGGAAGTAGCCTGGTATATTGATCACTTTTTGTGCATGCATTTGGACGTAGAAGAAGTCCACATGGATAACGGGTTGGAATTCCAAGGGGAGGTAGAACAACATCTCGTAAGGGCGGATGTTAGGATTTTGTACTCACTAGGACACTGGCCACAGGCCAACGGGCTCGTGGAGAACGCCAATCGAATGATTAAGACCGCCCTTGGATGGAACATCACTGCAGGAGATACCACGCCCTGGCCTGTCATAGTCGACCACATATTGGTCGTCTATCAGGCTACCCCACACGACAGTACAGGGGTGTCCCCATTTCAACAGAGAACCCGGGTGCAGTTGTCACCCCTAGTGGGTGCGGAAGTTAGAGCGACCCGGGCTCAACAGTGGGAAAAGGCCCAGCATTACATGGATCTGATGGCTAGGACCTACCCCGCGTTAGCCCGCAGGCGACAGAGGGTCGTGGATCTGACGCACCAACGGCAGATCAGAGATTACGAGAATTGACATGCCTCCGCTGGTTCACTACCCCGCTATAAGATCGAGGATCTAGTGTAGGTACAAAAATTTGCTCGCTCCTCCAAGATCCACCCTCGCTATACTGGCATTTACGACTCGGAGGTGACGGAAGTTGGCGCGCAAGGCCAGCACTCCGTGAAGCTGATCCCCCGACACAGCGCACAGGCCAGACCGCTGACTCGCCACGCTGCTGCCCTTCGCCCATTCTAACCATCGCTGGATCGTGAGCGGGCTCAGGCCCCGTCCCAGCCTTCTCCCTCTGCTTCCTCGTCCTCACTTGCTTCTTCTTCTTCCTCTTTCCAATCCACTTCATCGTTTGGGGTTGAGGACTCGATCGCACAGGATGAGCCAAAAGCAGCAAAGGAATGAGCTAGTTGAGCATATCCAAACGCCGATCGTGGATCACTTGGTGTGGCATCGATTCAATGATGATCGACAATTGCGGTACGATGATAAGTAAGTGAATGTGCCCGGGCCCAACATCGTAGATCCCGCCACATACTCCCTCTTGAGCGAACGAGTAACCTACGCGGGGGTGTACGTGGACGTCACGCAGCTGCCTGGTCGGGAAACCACCAGGGTGTTCATCGAGTTCCGAGCGCTCCAGGTGGCCGCCAACTTCGGGCACAGCGTCGCCACTTTCATCGGCGAGTTGACGCTCCCGGACGATCGACACCAAGAACCGGTGTGGAACTTCTTGCGAGAGTACACGGTGCAGGTAGCGAGATCGGTGGCGCGCACGCAGGGAAGGGGTCATCGATTCACGTCATATCACGCACGGTTGCGACGGACGCTGGACGGACCGCTGACACTTGTGCCTCAATTGCCCGTGCTTCTCCCCCCCCGCCGATCCTTTAAACATCAAAGTCATCCCCACCCCCTCATACTAAATGCCTCCCTTCATTTCTTACACCACCCTCCACTATCAACTCACAGAGAGCCCCTACCCCATGCAAAATTTTCCCGAGTACCTGGTGGGGCTGGAGAGCATGGAGCCGCTACCGCAAGCTGAGGAGGATGCGTGGGAATTGCGCCGCGCGCTGTATCGATCGGTGGTGCTGGGCATGTTCCGGTTTTCCATGTCGTACGACGATCACAACATCGTCGAGAACCTGCAGGTGTACTACGTCATCTCGAGGCCTAAGCCGGAGAAGGAGGGCACAGTGGCATTATACCCGTTCGGGGAGATCGGGACAAGCAGGCTGGGACTTATGAAGCTCATTCATATCGAGTTGCTGTCTATCGCGCAAGTGATCGCCAGCGAAGAAGAGGATTTCCAACTCCGCCTGCGAACAACATCGGCTGCACGGCGATCTTACCACGCGGCGGTAATACCGGACTATATCGCGCGGGAGGGGGGAAAGGTGGTGAGCATTGCGGATCGAAAGTCGTTGCGGCCTCCCTCATCCTACCCCAAGCCAGTAGGCCCGAGGGCCCTCAGGAAGACGCCCAAGAAGAGACGTCGCCAGCCATCGCCGGAAGCGCAAGGAAGCCGAGTGGGACCGGTAGAAGAGGTGGACAAGGTCGGGTGGGTGCAGAAGCCAGATCTCGTTCCAGAGAGCAAGGCGACACCGATCGAGGGACTTTCGTCGAGGGAAGTAGCAGAAACAAGCAGATTTCGGATACGCGGGAACCCTCCGGAGCCAACACCTCAGTCGCCGCTCCTTCCCGACCTGAATCTTGATGGAGTCGGCCCATCAGCACCAGCATGAGGAGGAGGAGTGGGAAAAGTACCATATCCCGCAGCCGAACCCCCCTTCCTCGCAGGACCTTTCCGCTGTCGCCAGCCACCCAGGCGTGCCCCGGTCATTGACCTTAGCAGTTCCTCCGAGCCGGACGGTCCACCTGACGGATGTCGCGTTCATGGTGGAGCGTGCAACCATCACGGTCGAAGCGATCGAAGGGGCCCCGCATCCTGATCCTGCATGGGAGCCATATCTGGAGCCGCCATTTGAAGGATGTGTCGCGGCCGGACTAGCGGGAACGATCATCTAGGAGGTCGTCCAGCGGACGAATGTAATGTACCATTTCCTCGTCATCGCGGTGCTCAAGAGGGAGTGAAGGCCATATACCAAGACCCATCTAGTGATGACGCGTCCCGGGAATCGCACGCTGCAGCGACGGGTTGTACCGGCTACTGCGGATCCGGCACCACTCGTATTGGCACACGTAGCGGGGGCGTTTCTCTATCCCTCCTTTGTCCAACACCACTTCAATGAGGTGGAGGCACCGATTACTCCGGCTGAGCTGTCAACCTTTCTTCCTCCTCTTCCTCCCCCTCTTAATCCCGAGATCAACCATTTCCT